TAATAAAGGCCAAGCTGCTCCACAATGCCCTGCTTAAGCAAATGAATCCACCCCAAAAAGTCATTAACCTGAAGTTATGACGATCAATCACAGCAAACAGTGGTTTTTGATGAAAAATGGGAGAGCTTACCAGGTAAAAACTTGTTGCTGATGTTCAAAAGCACTCCAGGCAGGTTCCCCTTAACAGAACAGAGCACAGGTTCAAGCTCATTGTAAAACAGTGAGCAGCTTTATTCTCAAGAACTACACAAAAGAAGATAAGAGTACAGTCAATCTCATTGACCTCATTGCAGAAGAGGACAAATAACCGAGAGGACAGAGTGTGTTTTTGAAGCCAAAACAGTGCGTGATTAGCACCTAGCTCATCCCTGCTGGTGCTTTAATGTTGCACTGAGGACAAGAAAAAGCACCCTGAGCTCCCCAATCACATCAGACACCTTGGTGCCGAGTTGGGGGGGGGTTGATTCTGCCTCACTAACCCTGCGAACAGTGTCCCTACGCTCTATTTGGAGAACAAAAGGCGTAATTATGGTGTGTTTACCTGTGCGACTGCTGCTTGGGGGGCGGCCGGCCGGCTGCTGCCTGCTTGTCCCAGCCCGGAGTGTCAGAGCGGCAGGTTCATGTTGAGCCCAACTCGACCCCCCTTCTGCAAATGGAAGGAACAGGCGCCATGATAATCCAAAAATAAATCCTGAGCCCTGCGAGCTGCTCAGTGACAGCAGCGTAGTTGTGACAGCAAGGCGAGCTGAGGCGAGATGCATCACTGACAGACCACGGCACCTTAGGTTTCACCACCTCAGGGCTCTAAAACTGGGGTCTGAGGGCCTCCCAGGGGTCCTTCAGGGGTGCACCAAAGGTCCAACAGAGGGTTGTGAAGTGTGCTCCCAAGAATAACAAATGCTTAACTTTCTATCAGTCTATTAGCATCCTTGTTGCTTCAAGGGTCCTTATTGATGGGACTTTTAATTTTTTGACATTTTTGAACTGTGTATGGTGAAACTAAATCTAAAAATCAGACTTCATTTTAATTTTCTAGTCAGAAAAAAGAAGTCTCCCAGTGGCTAACCTTAAAACCTTCAAACAGGTTTTATTTAAGCATCCTCTCAGCGCTGTTATCACTCGTCACCACTCTCTGGTCCTGGGTTTTGTGTTGCTTTTTGTTTTTGGTTTCTATTTGGTTTCACTGCTAGTGCTTTTGATGTGTACAATGATGTGAAAAAGTGTTTGCCCCTTCCCAGATTTCCTATTTTTTTGTATGTTTGACTGGAAAGTTGGGCAGTAAAGGGCTGCGGGTTGGACTCAACGCAGTGAGCAAAAATGGTGCCCTTGGGTAAGTCATTTTAAATCCGGATAGAATTGCAACCAAATAAGCTAGAGGAATAACTTTATTGCATATGAAAATGTAATTACATATGCATTCAACATGTCTCTGGTTGTGGTTTCCTTTGTGCACGCAGCAACAAAAACATCAGGTGTTCATAGCACTTTCTACATTGGAATAAACATCATCATGTTGTCAACAGGAACTGTCATATGGCCGCCATTACCTGCAGAAACCAAAAATGATGTCGTATTTTTTTCCTTATAGAACCTATCGAAGGTTCACTGCTGCTATTGAAATTCATGTTTGCCTTTCTGTATGGCTCCTAGGACATAGTGTATTTTAATGCACATGCTGTTTTTTGCAAATTGTGCACAATAATATAAGAATTAGTCTATGTCAAAAATGAAATTAGCAAGACACTCTTGTGCATTTACAGTATTGAGGGATATCCCTCTAAAATTTCTGTAACTAGAAAAATGTAATAACAAGAACACAATAAATCCCGTTAGCTCTCTAGACTCCCGTGTCATGTCACCCGGCATGGGTGGCAGCTCCGGCGGCCACAGTCATGGCAGCTCCGGCGGCTACCGGCGTAGCACTGCAACAAATCCATGACGTGCCAGCCAAGCAGAACGTAGACGTGGCCGTGCAGGCTGTGCTGGACATGGACTTTGTTCCTCCAGTGTGCTGACCCCCTGCTTGGGCAGCGCGGGCCCCTCTGGTGTGCTGAGGCCCTCCCACTCAATGAGCTCCTCCACAGGCAGCACGGGCTCCTCCACGGGCAGCATGGGCTCCTTCAGCTCGCTGAGCTCCTCCGGCTCGCCAAGCTCCTCTGCAGGCAGCACGGGCCCCTCCAGCTCACTGGGCTCCTGCAGCTCGCTGAGCTCCTCCGGCTCGCTGGGCTCCTGCTCGGGCAGCACGAGCCCCTCCAGCTCGCTGAACTCCTGCTCCTGCCATTTTGACCCAATCTCTTTCTTATGGTGGAGTCATGAACAATGACCTTGACTGAGGCAAGTGAGGCCTGCAGTTCTTCGGATGCTGTTCTGTTTTTTTTTTGTTTTTTTTAATGACTTCTTAGATGAGTCGTCGCTATGCTCTTGAGGTAATTTTGGTTCGGCGGCCACTCCTGGTAAGTTTAAGCTCTGTTCTGTTTTTGCCATTTGTGGATAATGGCTCTCATTGTGGTTCACTGGACTCCCACAGCTTTAGAAATGGCTTTATAACCCTTTTCAGAGAGAGAGAGATTTAATTTATTTGTTTCTCATTAGTTCCTGAATTTACTTGGACTGGTCCATCTTTAAAAAGCAGGACCTAGAGACCTTCACTCAGTCTGTCCTCTTCTATATTAAGTGCTGTGTAGAGAATGTGGCAGTGACCAAAAACCATTCATGTTTTTTCTAACCGATAACTTTGGATGACGAGTTTTATACTATATGACTGATAGCTCCTTACCTGAACAATATGGAAACCAACAGTCAATCTCCGGTCTCACAGAGCTGCCAGGAGGACTGCCATGATTGCCCTTTACAGTCAGACTACTTGCACTTATAGTGTCAGCAACATGTGCACTGAAAATGTCGAGGAATGTTTAGCAAGAAGATACAGACGGACAAAATGGTGGTGGCTAACCAACCGGACATAGTGGTGGTAGACAAACCTGAGAAGACGGCCACAGTGATCGATGTAGCGGTTCCGAATAACAGCAACATTAGAAATAAGGAACACGAGAAGCTCGAGAAATACCAAGGGCTCAGAGAAGAGCTCAAGAAGATGTGGAGGGTGAAGGTGACGGTGGTCCCAGTGGTAATCGGAGCACTAGGTGCGGTGACTCCAAAGCTAGGCGAATGGCTCCAGCAGATCCCGAGAACAACATCGGAGATCTCTGTCCAGAAGAGCGCAGTCCTGGGAACAGCTAAGATACTGCGCAGGACCCTCAAGCTCCCAGGCCTCTGGTAGTGGACCCGAGCTTCAAGGATTAACCGCCCACAGGGGCGAGTGGGGAATTTTTTAAAATATATATATATATATATATATATATATATGGATAGATAGATCAATATCTCTGTTTCTACACTCATCAATAATGTTTCTCTAATAAGCTGCCATTTTCTTAAAGGTATTTAATTTAACTGCCCTCCACAAATATAACTCTAAACATGTCACCAACGGGGGCGCTGTTTTACCACACTGGTGTGTTGAAATGTTTCCTGATGTGTGCTGCTGCTGTTTTAGGAAGAATGAATGAATTCTCAGTGACTTACCTGGGCAATAAATGTTAGATTGACTTGTTTCGCCATCTTGTGTTACAAATTTGTATTACATGAAATTACAGCCCAGCCCTGATTTTTGACTTCAGCTGAGATCACTTAAAAACAGTACATAAATGTTTCCAACATGAAGCCAGGGTGGTTAGTTTTCTTCTGTTAAGAGCTTTAGTTAAATTTAACATAAATACCTTTTACATCTTCTACTTGTTTTACAGTCATGCATCATAAGGTTGGGATGTGTATGCAATATGTACATTTTATCCTACAAGGATTTTGTAATTGTGTGTTTTTAAAGCTAATATAAAAAAGCATTTAATCATATTTGTCATTAATTACATTTGTTTCTACCCAGCAGGGAGGTCAGGTAAATTGTAACTCTGCATCAACAAAATCAAAGATAAAATCCTTGATGAAGTTTCATCTGTTTGTGTTTTCGTGATACTGATGGTTTGAACCTCCCACATACGCAGGTAACCAAGACTTCTCTCTGTGTCCTTAATTTTGTTACTGTAGCACCCCCTGGAGGAAATTGCAGGCTCTGTCAGTATCTGTGTGACCATATACTAGTGGAGACTTTACTGAAGGGTTCCTGCAGCAGCTTATTTAGACTTCACAGCTGAATGGAAAGACAGTCATCACAGTTCAGACTGGAGATGATTTCTGGAGGATATAAGAATGCAGCTCTCACTCATCTATAATTTAATGTCGCTTAACTCAAAGGTTCCACAGAAACACAGAAGCCCTGACCCAGAATAAATTACATAACTAAGCGAGACACACAAGTTCAGCACATAAGTCGCATTTAATTAAGTAGTAATTTAAATATTTATATCATTAAATTTAACTATACTTCCATGCACTAGTGATGGCAAAACATTTCCATCTAGTATTTGCTTTTGCATTCTGGGCTACTGCAGTCAGAAAAACGATCTGAATCAGAGCCACTGTTTAGCAGGACTATATTTGTCCGTCAGATTGATTCTTTTAAACCAGCGAATCAAAGCCTCAAAACAAGAGGTGGTTCAACATGTTGGATTTACAGCTTGAACTGACAAATCTCTCAGCTTCTCATGCTCGCACAAGTATGCTGTACATTATGTTTATGTGTCCCAGACTTCTGTGGGAGGATCAGAAACACCACCTGCCTCGCTTCCCTGACGTCCAACATCTCTCGCTCTCAGATGAAATTTGCTTGCCTAATGCAGCAGCCCCAGAATAGCATCCTGGGGTCATTTTGGCTGTCCCCTTCTCCAAACTTGAGCCTCCCTCCTTAGCACTCGACCCATCTATCTCCTTATTGAGTGCCAGAGGAAGGAGGTGGGGGCAGCAAAGGCGTGGACCATGTTCTGCCACGGTGGACGGCCTCGCCTCTGAGCTCATTCTTTGGCCAATAGGGAGGCCGAGCGGATCGAGTATCACTATAACAGAAGGACATAATCAGCGCGGTAAGTTTGCAGAACCTTACAGCCTGTCTTGGCCAGCAGGAGCTCGTTTCTTTCAGCTTTTCTGAGGTAAGGAAGTAAGGGGAGTGAATGAGAGTGTGAATGGTAGCGAGGAAGCTCAGGTTTAGGCCTAATGTCCCCCAAACATCACCCAGCCTCAGGACAGTTGAGTCCACATGTGCTAAAATCACTGCCATGAGTAGCAGAGGCTGCTGCTGAGGGCAGGTGTGAGAAGGAAACAATTAATAGTGGATCTCGGAGTAAAAAAGGCCTCCCTCTTCTGTGTTTGAACCCTGTTAATGAAGTCCAGTGTTTGACGGTGCTGAGTGCCTGAAACCTTGGTAAACAACTTGTGTTTAGTGCCTTTCTGTATCTGTGAGCACCCAAAAGAAGCTCAGCCTTTGGATTACTTTTTAGCAAGTTTGTAATCTATCTAAAATCCTCAGCTGATGTTTCAGACGTTTGAAAGTTCTCTAGGTTCTCACCAGACAAGCAGCTGGACTTTGTTGTTGTTCCTGTTGCTGTTTGGTTTGAGTCCAGTGACCCAGTGGGGGTTCATGCCTTTGGGATTTACAGTTGGCTTAAAGCCTCTGAAGCAGCTTTCCGCTTCAGGAGACAGAAGGTGACACTAACGAGTTATATAACACCACGAGAACTGCGGCGACTAATCCCGTTGTTGTTTTTGGTATTTGACCTCAGATCTTTTCTGGATTGCAGGTTTTCTCTTATTTACGTTACATTTTGGTGAAGCTGTGAAAGGGCGTGGCATGTTCTCAAACTGAACCTCACATAGCTTGAGGATAAACAGTTTATCATCTCGAACAGGAGCCGAGGGGCTCACGAGTGGATGTAAAGGAATCGTCATTTTGTCATTACACCGAGCTTGGAATTTATGACATTTGGGAATTAGACCTTCAAGGCGGCCTTCCTGGGTTTATTTTAATTCTTGAGCAAAGTTCCCCCAGGTGATAGGGATCCTCAGAAGGATGATTGAAGGAACCATGTGAGAGGAGAGCCTGATAAGGAAATGAAGGTGGAATGATGGGTTGTGGTCCAGGAGAAGGAACCCAATCTTTAACAGTGGGTGCACTGAAACTGGATCTGTGGGACCTGTGCAGCTGTCTCTTGGAAATAGCTGTGATGTCGGACGCCTTCATGGTGGTCTCACGCTAGTGAGGCCAATGGGCAACTAATCCGAAATCTAACCACTGGGAAATTAAATCATGCATAAATCCAGGTCATGTGTGTTTATCATTGCAGGCTTTTGATTAGATCTTAGATCCAAACCGGGATTTTCCAGCAGGATCAGGATACTGTTGATGACTGTAGAGTGGCAGCATCCTTTATTCTTTGACACATGGTGATGGAAAAGATTTAAGTTTCTTTAAGGTTTCTTTTTTTCACCCGACAGCAGCCCAACATCTATCCTCTGAGCAGCTGGAAAAAAGACTATTTGCATAAATCTATGTTTGGCTTCCTTCTCACTTATCATGAGAGAAGCAAATTCAGCCCTGAGGCTCAAATTTCAGTCGACAGTCTAATTATAAACTGAAGAAGATTTGGAAGCGACAGATCTTAGGAATGCCTTTAATGCAACATGCAAGATAAATTTTATTGACAATCATTTCTAAATAATTCTACTCAAAGATGTCTATATTATTATTTTGTGGAGGTGTTGGAGAAAACTGTGCAGGCAGGCAGGGTGAGGTATGGTCTGGGTGGAGCCACTGAGACATATTTAAGACATCTGCAACTTAATCCTGAGTTATAAATACATGCAGGCTGGGCAGTCGCTTCTTACACACACTTAAAGTTTCTGTTTTCTCTTCTGATTTCAGGTTGCAAAGTCCACTGTCATCATGTCCGACACAGAGGAAGTGTAAGTCAACCCACATTTTTATTCACAAATTCTAAGATTTTAATCTTCTAGCAGTAGATTGGCCAAAAAACGTTTGACTTAAGGCCTTTTTGTGAGCTAGAATCTTAAATTGCTGGACAACACTAATAAAGAAGATCCTGAGCTAAGATGATTTAGTCAAATAGCCGTTTTCACTGTAAACCACAAATTTTCATGTTTGATTTTGATGAGCTGCAACAATTCTAAGCATTCCTTTGTGTTCTGTCTTGCAGTGGGGTCGAGGGTAAGTAGCACCACCACTCCTGATTATATATCTAAAAAAATGATCCACTCCTAAAATTAGGTCCAGGTACAGTCGGGAGTTCCATGCTAAAGGCCCAGGATTACTTCTGAATCTTGTCTAACTGACTTTCCATCCCCTGTAGAGAGTTATTTGAACTGGACAAATTGCAGGTTTGGCTTGACTCCTCCAGATTCAAGTTGTGCAATAATGCTCTCTCTCCTTCAAGCAAATGACCACACCAGCACTGACAACAGGACAGTGCCTTTTATGCTTTGTGAGATTAAAATATAAACTTTTAGAAACATAAATCGCATAAAGCGGCGCAGTCCTGTTGGCAGAGAGTCCTGCAGCTCTGCATGACAATCTGCAAATGTGCAGTCCTCCTGAGCTGAACACACTTTGAAAACAACTTGGAAGTTTTGCTCCAATCAGCTCATGAGGACTGTTTTGTGTATGCTTAGCATGGATCCCCAGTGTACCCACATTTTGCTTTTGTATTCTGTCAAAAATGGGTACATATGGGATCTTTTGATAATGTTCTTCTGCTCCTCTCTTTCTCGGACGGACGTGAAGAATACGATGGTAAGACACAACCTCCAGACTCCGGATGATAAGTCTCACGTCACTGATACTAATTTGTTAGTCGTCCCTGAACAGGTTTTTGTGGCATGCTAGTTAACTCTAACATAACCTGAGATAAGTGAAGACACAGGTTGTAAACAAAGTTGGTTGGCGACAGGTTAGAATCTCTCTTTTGTCTTTGACTGCATCCAATTGCAGTGCAGGTATTTCCAGGAATCGATCACATTTCATCAATGAGTGACTGACCTTTTCTTTCCTGTAACTGCTTGCGGTCTCACCTGCTTTAGCATCATCCGGTGACAGTTCGTTTGAACTGCCTCACCACGAACCTCCTCATATCTCATATCTCACATCTCCTCCTTTCATCCACTGACCGCCTCCTCCCCTCTTCCATTTCTCCTGCTTCCATTAACCCTCTCACTGCCCTTCCTCTCCCCTTTTGACTCGCTGCATGTTGTGTAGCTGTAGAAGAGGAGGTAGTAGTGGAGGTAGAGGTGGCCCCTGAGGTGGCCCCTGAGCCAGAGCCAGAACCACAGCCAGAGCCAGAACCAGAACCAGTGGTAGAACCAGAACCAGAACCAGAACCAGAACCTGAGCCTGAGCCTGAGCCTGAAGGTATGTGGCATGAAGGGGGGAAGAGGGTATTGGATCCTTTCCCAGGCGTCACATGCGCTCCGGCAGCTACAGCCAGTTAGTTCGATATAACTAACCCTGATGTGCAGCCCAGTCTCACTGCAAAATGAGCAGGAGCAATGCTGGTCCCCATGAGTGTCACAATAAAGGCTTTAAACATGTAATTATGTTCGTATACATGTAACTCCACAAGACATGATTGTTGAAAAGCCCCTAAAGTCTTTCAGTGAAAGTTGACATGACATTCAACCTCTTGAGTTTATTTATATTTGACTTTACTGTCATTTCTAGTTTATGTTCAATCACCCTTTGGTTATGGTAAAAGGTAAATGGTCTGCTTCTTATATAGCTCTATCTGAGCACTCAAAGCACTTTACACAACTTGCCTCTTCACCCATTCACACCCGCACTTTTTTCTATGCTCTTTCAATGTTTGCAAACTAAAAGCATTTGGTTAATTTTAGACAGACTTAGCCTTTTCCCAACTTCTTTTCCCACAAAAAATGTCCACAGTTATACACCCTGTATTGTAAACACACAACATGTTTGTATCCTGAACACTTAGCACTGAACATTTTGCTGTGAGATTGGTCTATACCTTCTCCATGTCTGCTAATGTTAAGCTAACACTACCTTTCTTTTACCTCCACATGAATTCAGAGAATGAGTTCATGAGTTCATGCAGAAGCTGAAAATGCTATGTTTGAACTACTAAGGTCAGAAAGTGAAAACATGCTAATAAGCTCACTCCTTCAGCTATAGCTAATAGAGTTGTGCTAATACTTTAACTTTCCATTAGCTCTCCATTCTAAAAATGTTATCTTTGAGAAGCTGGGACATGTTTTTGGAGTTATCTTTCTAAACACCATTAAATTTGCATCTGCTTCTTTAGTAACAAATAATTTTACAGTTCTTGCTAGGTGGCTTTTCCACTAGCCTAGCTCACTGTATGCTAAAATATTACCACAAAATCATTTGAGAGTTGAAAAATCTAAGACAACCAATAGAAAAATAGAAAATAGATTTTTTTTATTTCAACCCTGTGTTTACTACTGCACAACATGCAACCAATTACTCTCTTTGATAGGATTTAAAAATTGGATAAAATTGGTACCATACCTGCAGGATAGGCTACATCTGATTGCTCCCTGTGGGAAGACAACCCTTAGTGCTAATAGGAGGAAAAAAAGATTTTAAAAAATAGACTCATTTTTCATCTTCCTCTTAATCTTGTATTCTGCTCAGTCATGTAACATGCAAAAAATATGCCAAAACATGCCAAAAATAAAAAATGCTAATTTGTTTTAAAACTACGTACATATCCCTATATCTTCTCAGTCCAGCCTCTATGGTGAAACGGGTGAATGCAGGGTAAGGTGTAGCTGAGACCTCGATAAAAACAAGGACTTGGTGCAGCCAATCATAAATGATCAATTAATATTTAAGGGATGTATTTATCTCAACCCCTTCAGTAGAAATATGAATAAGTTTGGATTTTTTGACAGCTTATTCCCTTCTATAACTTTAGTAAACAGTTTGTTTGTTTTCTTTTGTAATTTAAAGCTAACATGAAAAATATTATACATAAATGTGATTCCGTACAAATTGAACTACTGTTTTACCATCTTAGTTATCGAAGTAAAGGTAAAACTTTGCCCTTATAAGCAGCTGGCTTTCTTAATCAGTTGATTGTGGTAACCAGTTTCTTTATTTTTTTTAAACATGCTAAGCTTGAGTAGATCAGCTGTGTGCCTTAGTTAGACTCTGTACAGTTTGCAGCTCCCAGGCTTCCCGCTAATGCTGTTCTGTTCTGCTTTTTGTTTTGGATGCCTGCTGCATGCAGACCCCACTGAAGAGGAAGGTATGTAGATTTAAAAACTTCAATCTTAAATCTGTCATTCTGGTTTTGGGAAGGACTACAGTGTCCAGGTCTGACATCTGTACTCAGGGAACGCCTGCTGTCTGTCCAAATTTTACCTGTCTGTGTGAATCCAGGAGCGCTGGCCCTAATTGGCATCCAAATATGAAGGTGAAAAATTTGGAACCACTAGTGGAGAAGGAAGGGTGAATGAATATGAAATGCTAACACGTGCTTCACTGCACAGCAACCCCACACTCTTGCTATGCCACTTGTCATCTGCATGGCATGAAGCCGCCAGAATCTGGGTTCAGATAAATGAAGGAAACAGGGAAATGTTTTGCTTGGGGTCAAGCCAAAAACAAAAAAAGACATATTCTCTGTATCAGTGTGAAACCAAAGACCAACGTTAACAATTCAGGTTTACTTTAACTGCACACCTGTTTAAACTGTTTGCAATACATGTTTGCTCTTATTTGACTGTTGTTCTAACCCTAACTTAAAAAGTGAATAGCCTATCCTTTTAAACTGTCTAATCTGTCACCTTGATCCAAAGCCACACTGAGTAATGCTTGGGTTTACTGAAATAATCTGTTTTCTTTCTAATCTGGTGAAATTCACTCATCCCCTCTTCACTTCTTAACCTGCAGAGGAGAAGCCAAAGTTCAAGTAAGTTCCTTCTTATGTAGTCTGACTTGAAATGATTCCTGTAGACATTTAAATCGGAGTTATTTGGGCAAAAAAGACAAAGAAAGGTTCCAATTAGTGTGCCAGTACACTCAAAACCCCCACGCTCTCTTGCAGGCCCACCGCCCCAAAAATCCCAGACGGTGAGAAAGTGGACTTTGATGTAAGTCCGCCTGCAGTGTAGAAGAGATTTTGTTCATTTCCGGGTGTTTCTTTGCACAGCTGAATACTGCTTCTGTTGATCCGCCCCACAGGACATCCAGAAGAAACGTCAGAACAAGGATCTGATTGAGCTGCAGGCCCTGATCGATGCTCACTTTGAGCACAGGAAGAAGGAGGAGGAGGAGCTGATCGCCCTCAAGGAGAGGATTGTAAGTATTTAGCTAATGGGTAGTTTTATCTGTTCATATTTCCATGGAACTGGAAAATTGCAAAAAGCCTTCCACAATAATTCATCCACACAGGAAATACTTCCTGCCTTTTGCAGTTGGTGACTGGCTCTCATTTCTGGCCAAGGAATGGCTTCTAAAGGCTGAGCTCTGCTGGCTCTGCATGTCTTCTCAATGTGATTCATTTTATTAAATAAAATTTGGCTCACAGACAAGCTGATAATGACACAAATCAAATGGAGAAAAGACAAAACATCAACAATAAAAACACTAAAAAATATCATGGGAACAATAAAACACTATATTTTTAATTTTTACATTTTTGTAATTAAAAAAATCTTTCAATTATCTTAGTAGAGATACAAAGCAAAAACAAGGACACTCACTGTGTGGTGTGTGAGTTATCTTTGTTTTCTAACCCAACGTTTGCTCCTGTCCCACAGGAGAAGCGTCGTGCCGAGAGGGCCGAGCAGCAGAGGGTCCGCGCTGAGAAGGAAAAGGAGCGCCAGGCCAGACGTGAGGTGTGTTATTTTCAAACTATGAAAATGTGACTGCTATATGAATATATGGAGCAAAGACAAAATGTCTTGGTGCAGATATATAAACATAACCTTTTAAAATGTTCCCTTGAAAAGAGCGAACGTAGTTGGAGTTTCTTGTGACTTCCATTTGTAGGCAGCAAAGTATTTAAAGCCAGTTTTTCCAGGTTCAGGATGAATAAGTGCAGCTAATGTTAGTCCTGGGACCCGATGTTGTAAGTACTCTGTTCAAATTGGTGGTTACCAGGGACGATCAGAGAGCGGGTGGTGGATGCAGAGGTCTCACTCTGAGGTATTTTTTGTCAAATCAGGAGGAGAGGCGGATCAGAGAGGAGGCTGATGCCAAGAAGAAGGCAGATGATGATGCCAAGAAGAAGTCAGCTCTGTCCAGCATGGGCTCCCAGTACAGCAGTCACCTGCAGAGAGTCAGTATACATGCAGACAGACACACACGTGTCTATGGGATCAGCTGTTGACCTGCATCTGTCCAAACAGGCTGACCAGAAGAGAGGAGGAAAGAAAGAGACTGAGAGGGAGAAGAAGAAGAAGATCCTGGCCGCCAGGCGCAAGCAGCTGAACATCGACCATCTGAACGAGGATAAGCTGAAGTACGACTCGGCTGTGAAACTAAAACTATAACCTTAGACTTTTACGCCTGTGTAAAATAGTTTGAACGTCTTAGAAATGTCCTAGAAAATGGTGAAAAACCTCAACAAAGTAAAGACAAGGAACTGAATGTGCCAGAAGCAAAATCCACCTGTCAGAAGAACTGCTTGGTTTATTTGTGTTCTTGTGTTTGCTGCAGGGAAAAGATCAAAGAGCTGCATGACTGGATGACCCAGCTGGAGTCTGAGAAGTTCGACCACACGGAGAGACTGAAGAGGCAGAAGTACGAGGTGAGACGGCGTCCTCGTGAGCGCCCACGATGGCGTCTCTGACTGAGAACTTCTCAGCCAATTTCATGCATTTAGACAAGAACAATAAGACGGGTTTGAGAGAGGTCAGTGGGATGAGAAAAGCATAATATTTTACATTTCTTTCATTTGAATTATTTAATACTTATTTAAATACCATAAAACTATTTTCCTGCTTTTCTTTGATTTCAGTTTAAAATGTGTTATTTCATTTTCTGGGTTTTCCCTTTTATATGAGACAAAAAGTTATCTTTCCATATATTTTATCACATTTTTTTGGTTTATTCCCATAATTAGTTGATGAGTTTATCCTGACATTAATCTAAACATGTTTTGAACTGAATGCTAAAATATGATTATGTTTTTAAAAAATTTAAGGTTTTTAGGACATTTTACATTGAAAATATTTCATTACAATTTCATAAAAACCAGAAGGTGGGATTTCTTTCACTACTAGTTTGTTCTTATTTACTTGATTCTCTTGATTTTTTTATAGTTCACTAAATCCAAAGATTTGTGGGACACCTAATATTTTTTATGACTTAAGAAATCATATATGTAAGTAATCATTTATGCAACAAATTATATTATCAATTATTGTATATAATGAATTATTAATTTTTTACATACAATAATTAATCATTGGTTACATGCAAATTAATAATTAGTATATAATAAACATTCAGCTACAGAGGACACAAATTTGCTTTTGTTGAACTTTTATCTACTTGATTGTTGTTAAACATTATGTTTATTTACAGACTTTTACTTTACCTCAAATTATCTTGATTAAATTAAATTTGACCATTTAATAATATAGATAAATAGTCATAAATAGTCTAAAGTTAAGAGCACAAATGACTCGGTGCTTCAGACGTGCCAGGTTTGTTGTAGTTTGGTTTTGGTTGATGAGGTTGGCATCCCAAGGTCACCTCGGGATTTGAACCCTCGATATACTCTTGATTTCCTCCAGGTTACTACCCTGCGTAAGAGAATCGAGGAGCTCAGTAAATTGTAAGTAGTGCAGCTGAGCAGCAGTCATGCCGGCTCCCTGCATGTTAGCACGGGGAAAGTCAGAGCAGAGCGCCCCCGCTGGCTGACATAGGAAACAACACACCACCTGATTAAAAAGCGAGAAAGACAAAAGAGGACGGAGGAGTTTGTTTCCAAAAGGTGACACGTGCTCATGGGATTCCAGGAACCTCTTATGAATAAGAGTGGGGGTTTTAACTTTTTGCCAGGATTGTTTTTTTTAAAACAAGGATCTCAGAGAACCAGTCTTAAAATGACTGGAACTGATTTTATATTCAGTGAGTTTAAATGTGGACAGAGGTCCTGCCTGCATATACTTTAAAAAATGGGCTTACCTGTATATAATATCTATATATAAATCTATTTATAGCCTCTATATTAGCACAAGAGCTCTCTGTTTATATTATTATAACTACTACATGACTATGCTACTGTACTGTTTGACCTGTTTTGCAGGTGACAACTGCAAAGAAAAATAAGATATTTTACTGAGAAAAATAAAGAAAAAGGTAGGGGTGGTAGATGTCGTTTAGACGCTTGGCAAGAGTCTTTATAGGCCCAAGAAGCGCCTCTATACCAAGTTTGGTTGTTCAACTCCAGATCGTGTAGAAGTATTTGTGCATTATAGTAAAATATACATCTAATGTCATGCATTTAATGTTAAATGGATGCATTGCAGAGAACTGCAACCGCACTTTTAAATTCGTAAAACTCCAATATTTGTCATAAGCCACAGTTGCTTGTACGTTGGTGAAACAAAGAGAAACTGGATGAACACGGTGCCAGTTTTGGACTCAAACTCTCTGTTTGCAAGCAGATGAATAATCTGAAGTGTCTGTAAAGGTGGTGCTGAGTGACTGTGATGCTCAGTTTTACATCACACAGCCTCAGCTATGTGTTTGAGCGAGCATAAAGGTAAGTCAGGGTTTGGTGAGGTTTCACAGCTGAGCTAAAGGGGAATTAAATGTTTGTGCTCCTTTGTGGGAAACCACAGCAGACGTGCTTAATTTGGTGACATCACAGGACAGAAGAAACTCTGGGTAACAAAAAGATTCTTATGCACGGCGCTGCCTTGGTTTCCCATGATGCTTTGGCCCGCAGCTTTCAGCCCACTGAGCCCGTTCAGCTGAAGGAGTCGTTCTCCGAGGTAAAGGTATCCTGCTGCAAGTTAAAGCTGCTGCTGTGTCATTTCCAGGTTCTCACGTACAGGATTCGCATTGATGAGTTGCAGAAGCAGTGAGTATTGTCATTGCTGACTTCGCCAGCACCCAATAATCCCCCCCAAAGTATAACTTAATTTAATTCCACATGATAACGTGATAATGTGATAACTCTCCCCTCGGAAAGACATAACTGTCATCACACTGAGACAGTTCATGTTGGTTTAAGGCTGAAAACTAATAGGGACAGAGTACATCAAGCTATGAAACACTAGACACCCTGCAGGGAAATTTTAGTGTCTAAGAGAGCAGCCTTTTATTGTGTGTGCAGGAATAACAGCTGAGTTATCACAGTGCATTATTTGTTTTCCGTGTCAATTTAGACCAGGGGTAGGCAACTCCAGGCCTCGAGTGCCGGTGTCCTGCAGGTTTTAGATCCCACCCTGGGTTAACACACCTGAATCAAATGATTAGTTCATTGCCAGACCTCTGGAGAACCTCAAGAAATGCTGAGGAGTCATTTAGCCCTTTAAATCAGCTGTGGTGGATCATGGACACATCTAAAACCTCCAGGACACCGGCACTCGAGGCCTGGAGTTGCCTACCCCTGATTTAGACCCTTCAGTGATAACACCCTAGCCTTGACCCTAACCATTTAATTTATCATTAACATTATAAAATGACATGAAAAGGTCTTAGAAAATCAAGCATGCATCTTATGATGAATTTTAGATAGAAGACTACTAGTTTTATCCCTCAAACAGTAATAATCATACAGTAAACACAAGAACACCTCAGTAACATGCCACAGATGGTTCAGTTCCAATCCCGGTCCAGACACAGGCCAAAAACATCTCAGCTGTCATGTTGTTTGGACTCTGTTGGTCAGCCAGACTAACGAGCACAAGTACTTAATGCAGAGGTGTTTAATAGAAGGGTGCAGCTGCATCATCACGCTTCTACCCTGAACATTAAGTACTCACCCTAAGACATCAAACATGACACATGACACATGAAACCTTTCACGATATGTCAGTTGCATTCGCTTTCTTTCTGGCAGCAGGTGGGCGGAGCTTTGGTGCTTACAGACTGAGCTGCGTGCCTACGTTGACCATATTTGGGAAATATGCTCTTTATTAAGTATAGAAAAAAAACTGTCTGGACGTTTCGAGCAGTCTAAGGCCTGAGCTTCTCACAGACTCACAGGTCTTAATTAGAGCAAACACGACTGTAACGGTGCATACACGATCGAAAATAAAGGGGATGGATTTGAGGTAGTGCCTTTGGATTAATTAAGCCCATGCAGGTAAGTACAGCATGAGTTGTGCATGCGAGCTGAATTTCCCGGGTTGTTTTTTCTGCTTCCAAAATCCCACTCAAAACATACACTAAACAGACCCTAAACAATTTATGAGGATTTTCATGTTTTTTTCTGAATTAAGATATTTTTCATATCTCAAAAAGATAATTTTAATATTTTCAGTTACTTTTTTGAATGATTGCTGCACAAAATTTTAACAAAAATCTAAATCTGTACGGTTGGATAAAAACACACCCATCCGTTTCTTTAACTGAGAAGAGATTTTTATTTTAAGCAGCCAGTTTCCTCAAGAGATTTTGGACAAACATGCTTGCAGCTAGTGAAATGCTCTCAGCTTCATATGTGATGATGCAAAACATGTTTTTGCACTCTCCTCGTGCTTGACTTCTACCAAGGAGTCTTTGAGCTGTTCACTGCTGTTCTCTGAAGTTTGAGTTTGAGTATAAATTTGCAAATCAGCATCAACGACATCGCACAATGTGAGAACAGCTCAAAGTTCTGAAATATGTCCAATTTCTTTGCGTTTCGCATTACAGCAGCAAGAAGGGAGCCGCCCGCCGCAGAAAGTAGATCAACTCGGCCCGCCAGTGCTCAGAAACCAAACCAGGATAATCTTGGACACATGCCTGATGAAGCAATGCACGCTGTGGCAAAGGTCTTAGCTCAGAAGAAGCCTGTAATGCTGAGGTTTACCCTGCAGCCAACCAACCACACTATGAAACATGCAACCAGGAGCCTTTAGCTGCTCTTCAGTAGGAATAAAAACCATTAAACTTTGTTGCCGTCACGCTTCCTCACCCTCGACTGTTTGGTTCTCAGTATTTTTGTAAATAAAGTGTGACACTTCAAGCCATGTCTGTAGATCTGTTGTTCTTTAGTAAATCAATAAAGTTCAGTATTTTTAGATGTGTAATTTTAAAGTCGTTTCTTCAACACTGTTAAATGACCCGGCAGGAAACAGAGGCCCTGCTTTTATCAGAGTCTCCAAATATTTTAGGTTTTGCAAGTGATCAGTATGCACATTATCATTTGTAACTGAGGGAGGGAAACTAGTTTATATATAATACTACTTATATAAAAAAAAATCTTATTTTTAATCTAAGATAGGAGCTTATGAAAGCATATTAAATGTTGAATTTAATGCAAGGAACATTCCGTTATTTACCGCAGTCAATCTGTCCAGCTACTCTGGAGGAGGCTGTAAATGTTGTGACATGAGTCTGATATGAGTCAATGAGTCAGTGAAGCTCACTTCTGTCCAATGACAGTGCTGCTGAGGGGAGTTGTTGAGGATTTCCTCTACTTTTCTGTCGGTAACCGCTGCTATTTAGCCTCTGTTAGCTGCTGTTAGCTGCTGTTAGCTGCAGCCCGGACATCAGTTCAGGAGATGAGGCTTGAGGTAAGACAGAAGAGGATAACATCTTATTCAGAGGCCTGTCACACTGTCTCTTTCCTTTGCTTTTCCGCTTCTTTGATGACAATGAAACACGGGTATGATGCTTCATATCATGAGGCTGAAGGTGCAGCTATAAAATAATATTTGACTCCAGGACTCAAAATCCCCACAGGTTCTTGTCTCCTCTGCCTTTGGTTTTCTACATATGTGTCTGAAATCTAGTCAGATACATAAAGCATGATAAGATGGAACGGCGATGTCCAGCTCGGCCACTGACATGGCAACATGGCAGCTTTCACAAACAGGTGCCAGCTGCTGTTTATGAGAATGCATCAGTTTGGTGAAAGACATAATTACACACTAATCAATATATATTTAGGAGTAAAATATTCTTTTTTTCTACTAAATAACCTCACAAAACTTACTGTAACTTTACTAAAAATTATATTTAAATATCATTATTGTTATTATCTATTCATTTTTATTAGTTTTAGAAGAAAAGCTGAAAAAAGTTTAGAAAGCACATTACATTTTTTCATATTACTGATATTTACCTGCATTCCTGAACAGAAAAAAATTAGGAAAAAATGATTTATTTGTGGAAAAAAGAAAAAGATCACTTTCACTGTTATTTTGTCACAAGCTGCCACACAGCCAGTGACAATGGCGGGAGACAAGACAAGCTAAATTGCTAAACATTATTTTATTCACCAAAAAGGAAAAACACAAACAAGTATGAGGAGTCACAAATACCAGTGATGACACAAATGCACGTGTGCTGATGTTGGCAGCAGTGCAAAGGACTAAACACACCAAAACCTGGAGGTGCCAATTGCTGCAGTTCTTCTGTAGAATCACATGATGGCGCTGTTGGTCTGTGTACCACGGAGCAGAGCCTCAGCATGTAAGTCAAGGTCACAGGAACAGCATCGGACAATGTTTGTGTTTGTTCAGAAGCGTTTTAAAGCTCAAACCTTCATTAGTCATTTAGGGATTTAAATAACTTGAATATTATAATTGTTAACAGAGTTATTGTGACAGTCACCATCACTCTTAACTAAAGTACTTACCCGATACAAAGATAAAAACCGATCTGTCAACGTCTCATTCACCTTGTGGTGCAGAAAGAGTTCAATTACGTTCTCTGCTGGAGTCCTTCCTCATTTGACAAACATATCCAATGTGATTGGCTGAGCCTTTCAGGGAGCTCTGTTTAGTTTTAGCAGCAGCAAGCCTGCGCTGCCTGGACCTGCGAGGAGGAGAGGAGGACGGCAGCAAAAAGGAAGACCCTGGATATAAGAAAGTATTTTTCAAAGAAACCTGTAAGTCACTTAAAGTCAAGTTCACTCATAAAATGTGTCCGTCACAATAACGTTACAGGCTATGCTAGGCCCACATGCCAACCCTCCCGATTTTTCCGGGAGAATCACGAATTTCAGGAGCCACCATTCTACCGAATTTCTCCCGATTTTCCACCCGGACAACAAAATTGAAAAACCATATCCCATATCGGCCAAGCCAATTCCAGTTTCCAACAATGGCTACTACTGCATCTACTTAGTTTTAATATTGCTCTTATTACTCTTTCTGGGTCGTAAAATAAACTTTTAACATATTTTCCAGGGAGAAAGTAGCTGAGTAAACTTCAAATATCTGAGCCGTTGTTGTGCCAAAAACTGATTTCCAATGTTTCCGTGTGTTTTTTATGTGTAATATCGTTACGTATGTTGCTAAACAGACTTTGGTGAACAGGTATTACAAAGGGGTTATATATCAAATTAAAAATTTACCTGTTTGTCAAGTATCTTTGTAACTGTGTTATTGTACTTACATTATAATCAATCAGCTCCCGTTTGTCCACTTAAAATATATTTAGAGAACTATTTTTGCATTTGTCCTCTTGGCCAGATTACTCTTGAAAGAGACATTTTTAAAGCCAACAATATTTTTTTTTAACTGCATAAATAAAGGATACATAAAAGTCACTGCCAAAAAGTGATTGCGGCTTCTACCTTGTTACAGGAATGTTGTTTGTTGCTCAGGATGACTTGATACATTTGGGATACACTTGACATATGTTTCACATATTATAGACCAACAAGTTATTTATAGCAGTATAAATACAGGCAATCAGTTTTTGGCAGACAATCACTTTTTGGCACAACACCGGGTCCTCAGGTGGACGCAGCCTCTGAATTTGGACATCCCCAGCTTGTTTCCGGCCGGACAATAATAACGGTGACATTTAACTTTTTCATCCAATAAATAAACATTGTAAAATTGAAGTTTTTTGTACGTATACCACTCCCCCCAGCCCTTTTGAAAAGTATGTGCAAGTATGTGCGAGGCTTTGGCCCACATCAGTCTAAAATTGTATGTAACCGTGAATAACGTGTTGCCATGTCCACCAGGAGAGACTGGACAGTATAGATGTAAAACAAATATGCCAGCAGTTTATCTCAGTTAACGAGAGGAGCAGGCATGTGTTTGGCTGCTTCACATAGTGGACATTGAGTTGTTGTGTGGGGAACCAGTCGTCCATGTCTGTTGCTGTAACTGTAGTTCATGTTTAGAATAAAAAATCCCAGCTCACTGACTTGATAGGAGCAATAGTGCCTAAAATGTTGCTAATTTTGCTGAGAGATCTTTTACTTTGTGGTAATCTTAGATGAGTAGTTTTATGGACAAAAACCACCAGCTGCTTTGAAATTTATGTGTTCAATTATTTTAAATATCAAGGCAATGAAAACGTTTTCTTGAAAATTTTCCCACAAAAAATTATAAAATTTTCTAAATAAATTCTGGACATTAAAAAAAAAAAACAAGACATCATAAGTCAGAGTCATATGTATATATTTTGTATAAATAAGCATTTATTTGTCTTTAGACTGTCACTCATTTTCAGATGTATAAATATAAAGTTTAACATTTTTCACAACAAACAAAAGCACGTACAGACAGAAACATTAAATACATAATTAATACTTTCAGTCGGAACAAATCAGCTCTTATTTACAGAATATTTACAGAAACAGAAAAGTGGTCCTCCGCTGCAGTGAGTGAAATGACAAATGAAAGAAATTAAAAATCCGTTTTGGACAGGAAGGAGGTCTGAACCTACTTCAAAACTGACGGGAGGAAAAAAAGTCACTACAATACTTCTGTACCCGCAGGCCGGATTCTGTTAAGCTTTTACTGCAGAAATTTGTGCTTTTACATCAAGTTTCCTTCTAAAATGTCAAACAGTTACTGTAGTTCCTTTTTCCTCCTGAGGGAATCGAACAGCTGGGGCCTTTCGGACTTCAGATAGACGAAAGTGGAGGAATGTTAATGGGTGGTTTTTGGCCTCCGTCCTTCATCAGCTAGACTATACACAGAAGGCTGGAGTGGGGAAGGTGGGGGATCCATCTGAAAGACTAAGCTGAGGCTTAAAATATTTTTCATAACTTAAAATTAAATAAAAATACAGCAAGAACCGAACTGGTTTCTATTTAAAACGTAACTATAGAATTAAGTGGTCTGATCTCGACTTATTTCAGAAACAAGAAAAGGAATCTGGGGTGGCTGTGGAAGCTCATTCCTGTTTGGAAAATTAACTAATGTAGGTAACTTTGGAATGATAAAAGCAACTTTTCATTTGTATGACATACAAGGTCAAAATTAAGACTTCAGCTCCTGACTATGACTTTTTAAAATCATTTTTTTCAGGCTCCTCCTTTTATTAGCGTCTCCGTGTAGAATCAACAAACCGCATCTGATCATGAAACATTGAGATGTTTAGTTTGGACGCTTAAAAAAAATCTTTCTTTACATATAAGTTTGAAATCAGTAATTCTAGATTTTATCATTCCTTTGTTAAACATATATCTAATAACTGAAAATAAATCTTAGGTATGTGTACTTTTAATTAGACCTCACAGCCACGGGATTTTTTTCTTGGCAACTCAATTGAAAACACTTAAAATGATTTTTACTGCTGATCTTTTTTTCTGGCAGGAATGAGCTTCCATACATTGATCTAAAGAGAATAAATACATAAGAAGCAGCTGATCAACCATAGTGGTGGTTTCTCAGTTCAGCTGGTGTAAATAATCATTTTCAGTGTGTGTGTGTGTGTGTTCTTATGGCTGGATGGCTTGACAAGATTTGGGGATTTTTTTAATTTATTGTAATTTCCGAGTTGAATATCTATGTGTGAGGGTCTATAGGACTTGGTAAATCAGGCTGGGGTCCTGACTGGCAGTCGGAGACGAGACCTGAGTGGTCGCCGGGGCAGTGCCTGCTTCACCCACCGGCACAGTTGTCGTCGGTGGGGATCCTGGGCCGTCAGCAGGCGGCAGCAGGCTGCTGTTATCGGTGGAGATCCGCTCCACAATGCTGGACAGGCAGTCCAGACTGGACACCACTGAACTGCGTTCGCTTTTCAGACCGCCTGCACAAAAAACAAGACATCATAG